TCCCAGCTGATATCCGTTTAGCTCCATTGACAGTTAGCGAAGTTTTCTGGCAGTCAATTTGCCGTACCGAAACTGAAAACTGCGAACTGAGAACTAAGAGCCAAGAACGAATCCCGCTCGAGTGGCGACAACTGGTAATTGTGAGGGCTGCCCGCCTGACTAACCCATTTCTGGGCCATTCATTATGCAAAGGCTGCTACTGTTGTCCGCATAAATTCGGCCTGGCCGAGACCAGCATAAACAAGTCAAGTGCAAGAACGAGCTCTCTAGTTTTTGGTCAGGCCAGAATTATGGCCATTTGGTAATTGTACAATAGTAAGGGCCCCAGCAACAGCAACATCAGCAATGACAGCTGTTTTTGGGGCTGAAACACAATGCAGCCAAGCGCCTTGTTCGGTTGCATCTTCCAGTGTCTGGATAAGGGGGGAAATCTTTATTCCTGTCCGACTTTCTCTTTCTCCCTCTCCCTTTTTGTTGGCCGCAAAAACCACAAACTGCCAGCCCCCAGGAAAACTCATTTGCTTTTTGTCGCCTACATCATCATCGTTGTGGGGCCAAAAATGTTATTAAGGTCGGGGGTCTGGTTCAGTATTCACTTTCCTCTTCAAATTTCTTTAAGAATATTTATATATATTTTGGGGCTTTTCATTTGGTTTCTTATTTTTTATTTTTTTTTTGCAATCTGGGAGCGACTCTTTCAACGATTTATCATCCACCTGGGTCCTATATATATTCCTTCCCTTTTATCAATTAATGCCCTGCCAAATTTTGGGTTCATAAATTTGCCAATGTAGGGACGTGACAAAAATTCTTATTGACTTTCCTGGGGCGGGAGTTCCTTCCTTCGGCTGTCAATTGAATTTAATGACTTTTGGTGGGTGCTGCTGTGTCTGGCATTTAAACTAATTAAAAAGTGCCCTCCCTGGAAACTTTTTCGGGCAACCCAAAATCGAGTGTCTTGTGATAATTGGAGAAAGTGTGAACATGCAGAATAACATACCTCATTGGATGGGAGAAAACCTCAGTAACCGCAAACATGACAATCATATACACATCACACAGACAGACAGGCGGGCTCACAAAATAACCGAATGAACCGCAGCAACATTGTTGTCGGCCTCGCCTATATATATTATTTTTTGAAAATCCAGGACCAAGGACGAACAGCAGGGAACAGCTGCCAGTCAGGGGCAGTGAGGGACATTCAGGAAAACTGACAGACAGCCAGACTGAGAGAAGAACCGACCGCAATCATAAAAAAATCAGCAGCAGCCAAGCGACAAAATGCATTTGAACAAGTTTTTACGACGCGCAGGGTGTTTAAGAATTGCAATAAAATATTTTTGCAACAATTTAGATGCCACAGTTTCCTCTCGGCGGCATTAGCTTCGGACATGCAGTTAGCTTGTCTTTATGGCCCGAACCCATTAAGCGCCATTAATGGCAGCCCCCCCCGACTCACACAAGCGGATGGTCAGTGATTTCCTTTCATAGAAGGATATATCGTACATTGTGTGTGTTGGCGGTGCAACAGCGGTGGTCGTAAAATAAAATGGCTAAAGGAAAACTGCAGCTTGGCCAATTAGTTTTTACCTCAAGAAAGGAGAGGAAATGCTGCCCTTTAAAATACCGAAATGGCGAAGGAGTAACCCAACGTAAATAAAGGTTACTAGGGTGAAGTAAATGAAAAAATAAATTAAGAAAATTCAAGAGTAAAGTCACAATTTGCAAATATTATAAACCAAAGATGTCATTTAAATTAAATAAAAGTCCCTGAAAATTCAGAAAACAAAAGTTAAAAGTTATTGACTTAAAGCTTCGGTATTGCGGAGCATAAAAATGTATTTCCAGCCATGTGCCATTGTTTATTTTCCTTTTGCTATTTAATATCGTTAAAATTCATTCAAGTGCGAAACTTTACGATAAACTTGGCCGCACCAAGGAGCAGCGAATCGAATAATGGCGGGGGAAAAACTGTTAAGGAAAGCTCGAAGAAAAATATGGCGTCTTTGATTTTGACATTGTGCCACATCACGTAGTGCATATACATATATAAATATGTTTGGATGGCGGAACGCCTGAACAAGCGAAAATAGCGCATAAATTTATGACACTCGAAATGTATGGAGGGAGGTAGGTTTGAGGTGGTAGGTGGTGGGCGTGGCATGTGGCATTTGTGCAGCTAAGCGTGGCCGCTTTTCGGGGGCGAAAAAATGTATATATCGAACACTATTTATTTGGCATGGCAGCAAGCAAAGGCGACACACACTTTCCATGGGCTAAATAAGTGATAAAGTTGACTTTGATTTCGCCACTCGTTCACTCCGCTGGAGTGCAGTTAACCCGAATTGCTTCAATGTCAGCTTTTATGGTCGCACAAAGGACCCGGAATCCTGGGGTCTCCTCCCAAGGATTCAACAGCAGCTGTCCAAACATTGCACACACACAATTCGCCATCAAATTCGTTGAATGTCAGTGTATGGGATGGCTCAAAGGCTCAATGGAATATCTTCTATTTGATTTCGGGCTAGTTGCCGGGGAGAGAGGAATGCAATAAAATTGGTGTTAGATAAATAGATAAAGTATTTCAAGGGTTGTGCCCCTTTCTTCGCCCCCTAAGCCGATAAGGGCGCAGGGATAAAAGCTTTTCAAATTGGGTTAACTTTTGAGTTTTTGGCCGGGGAATATTCTTTATTGCGAAATATTTTGTAGGCCACTTCCTCAATAAATTATATGTATGTATTTTCGCTTATGGCGCTCTTTAAATACCACACATCCCGGCAGTGTGCTTAATAAAAGCTCATAAAATTTCATTTATCTGAGCCAGAAGAACTCAAAGTCCCTCCTGGCATGCGGAAAAAATCTGCGTCAAAAATACATGAGGCAACATGAAATTTTCATAACTTAAACATCAGCGTTCAATATATATTGCATACACCTACGCAGCACACAAACACACCAGCATATGCATATTAAAAAATTGAATTTTTATGTAATAAATTCAAGGAAGAAATTGCTGAGAGGATTTAATGAAAATGAACAATTTCGACCAGAAAAAATTAAAGAGGGAAACGAATATTATAAATGTGAGTTGCATAAACAAAGGACAACGGATTTGCGGGGCTTAAAACTCCACTTATGAATCATAATTTAAGTCTTAAGTTTCGATTTCGCAATTACTTGTTTTTATTGACTTGGCACCAATGACTTATCGTAGTAATTTGCATTGTAATCTCACTGAAAAATCCCTGAAAAGTACTCATTGCCTTGGTAAAAAAGGGTATTCAAAGTATGCCAAAGGATTATGCTCATCTGGCAAATGCAAGGCCTTTAAGCGAAGCATAAATATTAATAATAAGGATGCTGGAAATGATTTGCATTTAATGTCGGTCTTGCTGCTGGATTTTGCACAAGTTTTAATTAAAATGTCGTCACATGGAAACCCAAATACAACTGAGTAGGCAATTAGCAATGTTTTGCCATAAATATAATTCAAAATTGGCCTCAAACATTTGCTAATTTCAACGGCGGAAGGACTGCGAGTGCAAAGGGTGTGGCACACTTATCACACACACGCCATGTGCGCCCAGTTTGCAATGAGAGTTGTCAACCTGCAGGAGCAAATGTGCATAATTCTTGCACACAGATAATTCCCAGTCAAGGCAAGAAAATTATAAACCGAAACACAAACAACACTGGGGACAAGGGAAAGTTGTCCTGTGTTGTCCTTCTCAGGATAGGAATTCTAAGCAAATTGATAAACAGACACACTTGTGTCTTCCAACTGAAGAAAATTTCGCAGAATGTTGCTTCTTAAAATTAAATGTATTACATTGTACATTAAATTACATTAATTATATATATATGGGTCAAAGTATTTAGCGTTAAGTAAGGTTTTAGGGAGACATAGTGCTCTTATTAAACAGATTCTTCTTTTATATTCGAATTAAAAGCAAACTTAATTCTTATTTTATTATTTATATATTTTATACATAAAAACCTATAAAGATTTTGGTATAATTTAAAGTCTTTTAAGATAGTTAGCCTTATTTTTCCCACTGCACCCTTGGGAAGTTGTATATATGGGCTGTTAACCGGCATCCTTGGCACATCTGCTGCCTTAGATTTGCGTGTAGTCCTCAGGATTTCGTGCGGTCCGACGGTCTCTGCATTTATTTAATTAAAACGCACTGTCTTTGTTGTCTGTTGTTATTGGCGCAATTATAAATGATATATGTAATTTACTAGCTGCCTGACATCTCGGCTCTCTGATATGTCTTATTGTCAGTGACTTTGTTTGCACTTTCCTCCGGCCGGGCCATTGTTCTTCGAGCAGTTTTCCCCGGTCTGTGTGTTTGACCGACTTGCCATATTAAATCATCTGTGTACTTGGACTCAACTCAGGCGGAATGAGGGTCCTTTGTGGGGCAATTTGAAATTCATTCAGAGGAGTTCGAAGCTATTCCGGCAGCCACAATAGGTGTTGTGCAACATTACCAGCGGTAATAATAGTTAATTATGCGACTGAGTACCCGAGACACGAGAAACAAGAGGTTTAAATGGGCTGAAAATAATATTCCGCTCGAATTCATTCGCAATCGCATTACCTCCAACTTAGGTCCTGTGATCAAATGGAAAATCCATGAATATCAAATAAATTACATCATCGCACATGCAAATAAAAATCAAATGGAAAACCAAAATATCCCGGGCTGCTTAATATGCGAAACGCGTTTCCCACGCACACACCGAGGACAACAGAAAGGAAGACGAGGGTAGGCTCTTAAATAAAAGGCAAACAAAATGTTTGTCGCCTCAATAAGAGGCGTCAAATTGTTGCTCCGTCTGGTGAAAAAGTTTTCCTCATTGTGTCTAGTACGTGATAATTGAGCAGACAAAACGAAGTACCGACTTTCTCCTAGTGTCAAATTGAAAATGAGAAATTTAACCGAGCGAAATGGTGTGTTTTCTTCCACTAAAACTCTTCTCCTACCCGACAGTCACCAAATTCATACGCATTGGCATCGCCGATAAAAACGATAATCCGCCCTATTTCGACAAATCGCTGTACGAAGCCGAAGTGGATGAGAACGAGGACATTCAGCACACAGTGCTCACTGTAACCGCCAAGGATCACGACGAGTGTAAGTAGAGGGCCCTCCAAAAATATGCCCAGAAATTCCGCAATTATTATCTTACACACACATTTTTCTCTCTTTCTCTTCCTTTTTTCCTGAATTTTTTCCCCAAATATTCTTTTTGCGGTCGGTCCTCCCTCACAGCCTCACGTATCCGCTATGAAATTACAAGCGGCAACATTGGCGGCGCTTTTGCGGTTAAAAATATGACGGGTGCCATTTATGTAGCTGGCGCTTTAGATTACGAAACTCGACGCAGGGTAAGTAAAAAAATAAAAAAAGAAAAATGTGAAAAAAAAAGCGGAACAGAAAGAAAACCGCGTACACAAAAAATGAAAAATGCAAAGTGGAAACCCGTAGAGGAGTCCTCTGTAATCGACAAACGTTCTTCCACAGCGCAGATATATTTATGACATAAGCGTTGCGGGCTTAGTCAACTGTGAGATTTGTTTATGTCATTGGAAAGCTGAGAATACATAGGGGACAACAGGGATTATAAAGTTGCAAACTCCAGAAAGAAATTACACAATTTTTAAAGCTTGAAGTTCAGCCACTTTGCGAGGAGCTTCCCTTCTCCTTGGCCAACTATAAAATTCATTAAGAAACTCGCTGACAGGTTTCCGTCTCCTTTTGAATTTCAATTTACACGCTCCGCGGGGCCACTTAAATATTTAAAAGTTCAAACAAGTTTCTGAACATGCGCTGCGGTCAAGAAGTCAAATACCAAAGCCAGGGAGAAGGGATAGAGAAATCCTGGCGAACCATTAATTGAATTGCAATTCGAACAATTCGAACAATAAAGTCGTGCCATTCTCGTGACTTTAATTGAAATGTGGCTGGGAGAACTTTCCGCCAAGGCCCATGCAAATAGTTCATGTAATTTAGAATTTGTAATAAATGCAGAAAGTCAGTCATGGGAAGGAGTGAGTGTAGCACAGAAAGGATACCAGAACGAGCTAATTAATTGATAAATTTCTCAGACAAAATACTATAAACTTTTAGAAATGTATGAAAATATTTGAAATTAGACATCGAAAAGGAATAGTAGTAGTTGTTAATGTCTAACTTTATTTGCAAATTCCCACCCCGTTCAGTATGAGCTGCGCTTGGCCGCTTCCGATAACTTGAAGGAGAACTACACCACTGTGATTATCCATGTCAAGGATGTGAATGATAATCCCCCCGTGTTCGAGCGACCCACTTATCGCACCCAGATTACCGAAGAGGACGATCGCAATTTGCCCAAACGCGTCTTGCAGGTCAATGAATGAAAATGAAATGGATAGAAAACTTAGTTCACAACTTTTGATTTGTTCTGTGTTTCTGGTAGAGTTTTCATTGCGCTGTTATTGTTTGTATATGAGGCACAAAGTCGAAACAACGTTTTATGTTTCCCTAGATTTTATTGCATGTGATGAGTTTTTGTTTTGAAGTTTTCCACCCAATGCCCCCCTACAAACTCTGCCTGAGCCACAGCATTTTATTGCACAAAAAGCCAAAACACAAATAGAATTTTAGAGTGAAATGTTCGGCGAACTATTTATCGGACTCTCTCATGATTTCGGAATTTATCATTTGGATTTTATTTTCCCTTCGGGTGTCCTGACAAATATTTATATTTATTTCAATTGCCCACATGCCCAGAGTGTTGCATATTTTTTGCCTGTCTCCTTCAGCCACTCAATAAATTGTTGACATATTAAAAGCATTTACTGGCGTGCAATATTAATGGACCTTGCAATACCTGTTTTTGTATGTGCTATGTTTTTTGAGCAAACCTACAATCAAAAAACCCAATACTATACATGTTTTTAAGTATAGCGAATGCAACATAAATTTTTAAAGCCATTTGCATGCCTCATTCCCCGCTTACGTTTGATTTAAGGCTGCTGAAAAAAAATGACGAAAAGTAATTGAACAATTAAAAAATGCTATCCACTCTAGAGTGGACAAATGTTGTAAAATGCGGGCTCGAAAAAGTATAAAATTTATTTACAGAAAGCACACACCCACACACACACAGACGCGGAGTCGTATATAATTGGCAAAGCATTTAAATTGCGGTCGCTGGAAACATTTTTCTGCAATAATATTGATTTATCATTAAGCACGCAACGTGGAGAGCTGTAAAAAATGTATTTTAATCGCAGGATGACTTGGAAATATGTCGATTATCATGCTTAAAATTACTACGCAGCTTGTAATGCATAATTGAATAAGTCGATTAAATTATTGCATTTTAATGAGTAAACAGCGTGCGATTGAATATGGAAAATGCAAATTCAGCTGCCAAGCCAAGGCCTAGATAGTTCAGTAAAACAATATAGATAATAGAGACCATCTTGGACATGTGTAAATTATTACGCTAGCTTATATTTTTTGTTGAAACAAAAAACACATAGTTTTACGTTACCCTTGTTGTAATTTATGAGCATTTTAAATTTATTGTTTAATTTTGTTATTTTTCACTCTTTTTGTTTTCTCCCCCTCACCAATTTTTGCGTTGGCCATATATTTTATTTAATGTTTGCATAAAGTACGAACTGAAATTGGTTGCCTCGGACAGTTTGAATGAAAATCAAACAACAATCGTCATAAATGTGCGCGACGTCAACGATCTGCCGCCGCAGTTCCCTCAGACGTCCTACGAGCGAACCTTCGACGAGGGAATGACCGACACGCCCTTTACCATCATGCAGGTCGCTATGGCTATATTATTTACCACATCTCAGTCCTGTACATAATAGCATATGGCATATGGCAAACAAAGCAGCTGGCCCTCCTCTCTCGTTAACAATTAATTTAACCCAACAACCGAGCGACACAAAATCTCATTCAATTTCATTTCACATGTAAACTTTGTATACACCAGTTATAACAAAACGTAAACATTATGAATAATCGGAGTGTGTTTCGACGTAATGTTTCAGTATATTTAACTGCAGTAATTTTGTGAACTAAAAGGGGACTTCCACCGGTCATCACGGTCCTTCAATAATGTTGTAGGATTTCACTAACAACCAAATATTAAACTATTGTATTTCATTTTTTCCGGTTCAATCAGGGAGGCTCACAGAAATAAACCAAATGTAAAATTAAACAGATCCCTGCGGCCTTTAATTGCCTGCGTAAATATTGTGCAGACTTTTCGCATTTCGTATTTCAATTTTTCCATTAACCCCTTTCTGTTGTTTACTACCAAAAGCTGCTAATTAAATTCAATATGCTCTTTAAGTATTAATGCCACACATTTGCACGGTTAAACCCGATCCGCCGCCCAGATTTTCTGCTGTGGTTTATTGTGTTTTACTTGTGGCTAACTGACCCCCAACTAATTTAATTAAAATGAACGTGGACAGAGCTTAAGGCCAACAAAGGGAATTAAATTCAATCTGTCAGCACTCAAGCTTTGTTTTTATTTACACTTTACTAACCGTTAGCAAATATTATTTTATTTACCACTGATTTTGTGTTTTCACTCAATTCTAACAAAAGTGTTTTTTCAATGGCCAAACCAATACCCGTCAGTATTTGGTGAATAAATCATAATCCATCGAAAAATAACATTTGGTTTTCTATTAAGCAGAAAAAATTATAAAAAATTGTAAAAAGCCAAATGGTAATTAAACGGAGTAAATACCACTGACTAGTATTATTGGAAATGTGAAAAAATATGCTTAATAAATATGGACGTATAAACTAACAAAAGTATGGAATAGTTTTTATGTTTACAATAACTTTTTCTTCCTGCTCATTGTCTTTGTGCGGTAGTGCATGGTATGTTTGCTTTATTTCTCTACGATTTAATGCTGCTTTTTTGTTCGTTTATTTAATTTGATTTTTAACCTTTTTTTGTACTGACATGCCCGACCGTAAATAATAAAAATCTGTATTTATTCGCCGCTGTGGATGAACAGGTTACGGCCACAGATGGCGACAAGGACCGTCCCCAGAACATCGTGTACTTCCTCACGGGCCAAGGCATTGATCCAGATAATCCGGCCAATAGCAAGTTCGACATCAACCGCACCACCGGCGAAATATTCGTATTAAAGGTAAGTCATAGGCGAAAACAATGCCACAATTTAAGCATTAACAAATTGCCAATGGGCGTGAGCGCGCGGAAAAACACTTGCGTCCGTCCGTAAATAAATAAATGGAATGCGGTATTTTAAAATCCATGCTGGCCAAGGCCGCAGCTGGACAGAAACTGAAAATAATGGCGAATTTTCGAAATATGCTCTCGCTGATTAAGCCCCATCAATGTGCACTTAAGCCCGCCGCGAATCAATCCCAATCCCGACAAAATGCCAACGTGCGAAACAGCCTACGTGCTCATTATTTAACATTTAAATGGCAGTTGACGGACATGGCCTCCCGGTGCAGCTATTAAATAAAATTTTATAAATGAGAATCGCCAAAGAAACTTTCACCGGCGAAAAGTGACTGATTTGCCTCAAGGTCCTGTGATTTCTTTGGAATTTAAAATCAAAGGAATTGCCAAATAAGTGTAAAAGCTTACCTTTAATGGGGCTTTACATTACATTTGAATATGCTATTTAAAATGCACTATAAAAGCATCCACAATAGCGTCGATTCAAGAGTAAATTAAAACTAATTACAAAATCACAATTGAAAATCCCCTGACGCATGCGGGTCGAAATTTTCACTTAACTCTCTCACCAACAGCGAAAAATGTGTGTAGCCCCGAAAACTCCAAAGCCAAATTAAATGAAATTCCCATGCGTCCAGCTCAAATAAAAATAATATGTGTGCATGCCACTCGTATAGAGCGAAAACATTTGGGCCGCACAATTTAGCCATTTTTAGTCCATAGACGACTATCCTCTCTTCCCACGGATATAATTTTATTTTCCGACTTTCCACTTAAAATGGGAGGCTAGGTGGGATGAGGACTTGATAAGGGATAACAAACAGCTGTACCGTTTTTATTTATTATTATTTTTTTGCTGTTGTTGGTGGAACCACGGACCGTGACCCACTCACAACTAATCCCTTAAATTGAATATGTCATAACAATGTTGGCAAATTTGTCATGCAAATTAAAGCGATGACGACACAGGGGTTATGTGTACATATTTTTCTTTTATTCCCAACATAATGGGTATGTTTGGGAGTATTTCTCTGTAGATGGGTATATTTTTTGGGAATGTAAAGCAGGTGGGAGGGGGTTTGGAACATTGGAGAAATCGTACTTTAAAGTTTAGAATTTGTTAGCAATTTAGTTTGGCTATAACGTAATCCATTTCCAAAAAACTAACACAAAATTTATGTTAAGGGTATTAGTCGGTGACACTTTGGTTTACTGAGTAACCTGAGGTGTAATCCATCACTCGTAATAATTCTACATACAATTCTTTTGTTGTTGTCGCCTCGTACACGATTTTTTACGACAAACCCAATGTCAGCGCCATGAAAAGCTGCTCTTGTTGTCAGTCTGCTGGGGCTGTCACATGTCTGCGAGGGTTAAGGGGCGCCGGCGGCCACCTAACAAGGGTTTGGGGGCATTATCCAAGGGTTGCCAGCAGCCGCCAACAGATACAAAGTACTGATTAAAATCGTTTTTCTTTTCCCTTTTTTTTTTTTGCGCTTTTTATTATTTGCATACGTGTGGGGTTAACGAATTGGATAGGGGGTGTGGGTGTGTTAAGGGTGCACAGGTGGGAGCAACACATCACTCAGGCTGCGATGAATGCATATCAAAGTCACAATCAACATCAGGGACAGGCTTCGGGTTGGGGCTTCCCCAGCTTCCCCTTTGTATGAAAGCAGGATAATTTCATGGGTTAAAGAGGTGCCCCAGCAACAACAATGTTTTTTCTCCCCATCCCAGATGTTAATCGGTTTTGCGTTTATGACAGCTAAAATTACACAATGCCCTCGTGCATATTAACCCATAACAACAGCGTTTTACACTCAAGCCCACTCACACTCTTATTTTTCCTACATTTTTTCGCCTTTATAGCCGCTGGATCGCGATCAACCGAACGGTCGGCCCCAGTGGCGCTTCACTGTCTTTGCCCAGGACGAGGGCGGCGAGGGCCTCGTGGGATATGCAGACGTCCAGGTCAATCTGAAGGACATCAACGATAATGCCCCCATTTTCCCGCAGGGCGTGTACTTTGGCAACGTGACGGAGAACGGCACCGCCGGCATGGTTGTGATGACCATGACCGCCGTGGACTACGACGATCCCAACGAGGGCTCCAACGCCCGTCTGGTCTACTCCATCGAAAAGAATGTGATTGAGGAGGAGACGGGTTCGCCGATTTTCGAAATTGAACCCGATACGGGTGTGATAAAGACCGCCGTCTGCTGCTTGGATCGCGAGAGGACACCGGATTATTCCATACAAGTCGTTGCGATGGATGGCGGGGGGTTAAAGGGGACGGGGACGGCCTCGATAAGAGTCAAGGATATCAACGATATGCCGCCGCAGTTCACAAAGGATGAATGGTTCACGGAAGTGGACGAAACGGATGGCACTGCCCTGCCGGAAATGCCTATTTTAACGGTGACCGTTCACGACGAGGACGAAACGAACAAGTTCCAGTACAAGGTCATCGATAACAGCGGCTATGGCGCCGATAAGTTTACCATGGTGCGGAATAACGATGGTACAGGCTCCCTAAAAATCGTCCAGCCCTTGGACTACGAGGATCAGCTCCAGAGCAACGGTTTCCGTTTCCGCATCCAAGTCAATGACAAGGGCGAGGATAACGACAACGACAAGTACCACGTGGCCTACTCCTGGGTTGTCGTCAAACTGAGGGACATCAATGACAATAAGCCCCACTTCGAGAGAGCCAACGTGGAGGTGTCCGTTTTCGAGGACACCAAGGTGGGCACTGAACTTGAAAAGTTCAAGGCCACCGATCCGGATCAGGGTGGCAAGAGTAAGGTGTCCTACTCCATCGACCGCTCCTCGGATCGCCAGCGTCAGTTTGCCATTAATCAGAACGGATCGGTGACCATTCAGCGCTCCCTGGACCGCGAAGTTGTGCCCCGTCATCAGGTCAAGATCCTGGCTATTGACGATGGTTCTCCACCAAAAACCGCCACAGCCACGCTCACCGTCATCGTGCAGGACATCAATGACAATGCCCCCAAGTTCCTTAAGGACTACAGGCCCGTGCTGCCGGAACATGTGCCGCCACGTAAAGTGGTCGAGATTCTGGCCACCGACGATGATGATCGCTCCAAGAGCAATGGCCCGCCCTTCCAGTTCCGCTTGGATCCCAGTGCCGATGATATTATCCGTGCTTCCTTCAAGGTGGAACAGGATCAGAGTGAGTACAATTTTACTTATTTCCTTGGGTCTTATTTTATTAAGGAAAATAGTTTAAGCGCCAAAGATTATAATAAAATACACCACATAATGTGGTTTAAAATACAAGAAGATTAAATATAAGTTATAGTTTCAGTTTACTAACCGAAAAACTTGCATAACTAATTTAAAAATAGTTATTCAATGTTAATTTAATCACTGCTTAGGAACTTTTGGCTATTTGCCCTTCGATTTGGCAGTCTGGTTTCCATACACTAACCAATTATTTGCAAATTGCTGCACATACTCAACTCGAAGAGGTTACAGGGATCGAAAAATAGTTGCGAGCTGACCAGAAACTTTGCTGGAATGGAAAAGTTTGCCCAATATTTGGGTCAAAGCTTAAACAATGCACCAGCAGCGCAACATTTTCATTTTTGCAACCCTTTCCGAGCTTGTATCGAAATTTTCTTGGCCAAATATCGAGGGTTGAGAGGGCCAGTGTCGCTGACTGCTAACAATAGCATAAAAATGCAATTACCTCGCTCCCTGAAAATAAAAAGAATGGAGAGAGGATGCCCGAAATGAATAGCCAGGAATCTTTGGCCATAGAACGGAAACAGCAGACCGCATCGCACATGAAAATTTAAATAATAAAAGCAAGGCACAGATACACACACTCGTCGCCCACCTGGGCGAAAAATAAAATGGCAAATGCACAAGTTTTCAATTAAATTACCCCCAGCCACGGGGAGTCTGCCTCAAAATCCCAACTACATATGCATCGCAGTACCCTTCGCATTTTTTGGGTGAGGAAAAGCCAAGAAAAAAGTGGAAGAAGTGCCCGAGTAGCAGCAGTCACAATTTGTGTGGGTGGCAATCCAATTTTGATGCCCCAGCTGGGAAACGGGTGAGGCTACAAGTTGGGGCAGAATTTCCAGATAGCCTGTGACTTTATGCAAACTTTGGGGCGAGGGCAGAGCAGGCTTTTCCAGACTCGTATTTGCATACAATTTGCCTAAAAACACACCATGGAGTGTCTTTAAAAATACATTTCAAATGTGCGTTCTCGCTCCGCTCCTGGGAGTTCCACCTCCCCATTTTCCTGGGGCAGTTGTAGTTTCCATTCCATGCGAGCGGTCCGAATACGGACTTAACACTTGTTGGCTCAAAGGCGTAATTACAACAAATGGGCTATTGCAAAAGTTGCATCTGCAATCAGGTGGAAAACGTGCTGGCTAATAAAAGGGCTTAGTGCATTGGGTTGGTTAGATGTCGGGGCTTACGGCTAACTGGCAAATGCCTTTGAAGCTCCGAGTAGCAAGTGGATTTGTGCAGGACTTTTGGCAGTTATTCGCCCAACAGTTTGTAGTTTATTCACCTGTAGGCAGATGCTACATTTCGGGGATTATCTAGAAGTCAGTCTTTAATGGGAACTTTAAACAGAGAAGCTTCTCTTTACTTTTAGTCTTAGCTTAATCTAATCAATTTATGTTGTTCCTTGATTGTATGCTCTTATTTTTCTTTTTATTAATTATCCCTTCTTACCTTATTTTTCCTCCCAATTCACAGAGGGTGCCAACGGTGACGGCATGGCTGTCATTTCCTCCCTTCGCTCCTTCGATCGCGAGCAGCAAAAGGAGTACATGATTCCCATTGTGATCAAGGACCACGGCTCACCGGCTATGACTGGCACGAGCACACTGACCGTCATCATTGGCGATGTCAATGACAACAAAATGCAGCCCGGATCCAAGGACATCTTCGTTTACAACTACCAAGGACAATCGCCAGATACGCCTATCGGTCGAGTGTATGTCTACGACTTGGACGATTGGGATCTGCCCGACAAGAAGTTCTACTGGGAGGCCATGGAGCATCCCAGATTCAAACTGGATGAAGACTCCGGCATGGTCACCATGCGAGCAGGAACTCGCGAGGGGCGCTACCACCTCAGGTTCAAGGTCTACGATCGCAAGCACACTCAAACCGATATTCCGGCAAATGTCACGGTTACGGTCAGGGAAATTCCCCACGAAGCGGTGATTAACTCGGGATCCGTCCGGTTGTCGGGAATATCCGATGAGGACTTTATTCGCGTGTGGAACTACAGGACTCAGAGTATGAGTCGCTCAAAAATGGATCGTTTTAGGGACAAGCTGGCCGATTTACTCAATACCGAAAGGGAGAATGTGGATATATTCAGTGTGCAGTTGAAGAGGAGACATCCCCCGCTCACAGATGTCAGATTCTCTGCCCACGGCTCTCCCTACTACAAGCCTGTGAGGCTCAACGGTATCGTCCTGATGCATCGCGAGGAGATTGAGAAGGATGTGGGCATCAACATCACCATGGTGGGCATCGATGAGTGCCTGTATGAGAACCAGATGTGCGAGGGCAGCTGCACCAATGCCCTGGAGATCAGTCCCCTTCCCTATATGGTCAATGCCAACAAGACCGCCTTGGTGGGCGTGCGCGTGGACACCATTGCCGACTGTACTTGTGGTGCTCGAAACTTCACCAAGGCTGAGTCCTGCAGGACAACGCCGTGCCACAATGGAGGACGCTGCATGGACACCAGATTCGGTCCTCACTGCTCGTGTCCTTTGGGCTACACGGGTCCCAGGTGTCAGCAGACAACGCGCAGCTTCCGCGGAAACGGATGGGCCTGGTATCCTCCACTAGAAATGTGCGATGAATCCCATTTGAGCCTGGAATTTATTACCCGAAAGCCCGACGGCTTGATCATTTACAATGGACCGATTGTACCCCCAGAGCGGGATGAGATGCTCATATCCGACTTCATTGCTCTGGAACTGGAGCGAGGCTACCCGAGACTTCTGATCGATTTCGGCTCGGGAACTCTGGAGCTGAGAGTGAAGACCAAGAAGACCTTGGATGACGGCGAATGGCACAGAATCGATCTGTTCTGGGACACGGAAAACATTCGCATGGTTGTGGACTTTTGCAAATCGGCTGAGATTGCCGAAATGGAAGACGGCACACCGCCGGAATTCGATGATATGTCCTGCCAGGCGAGAGGACAAATCCCGCCGTTCAGCGAGTATCTGAATGTGAATGCGCCCCTGCAGGTCGGCGGACTTTATCGCGAGCAGTTCGATCAGAGCCTCTACTTCTGGCACTACATGCCAACGGCCAAGGGCTTTGATGGATGCATCCGCAACCTGGTCCACAACTCCAAGCTCTACGATCTCGCACACCCGGGACTCTCTAGGAACAGTGTGGCGGGATGCCCGCAAACCGAGGAGGTATGTGCCCAAACCGAGACCACAGCTCGCTGCTGGGAGCATGGCAACTGTGTGGGTTCCCTATCTGAGGCACGCTGCCACTGCCGACCCGGATGGACCGGTCCTGCCTGCAATATCCCCACCATTCCGACCACCTTCAAGGCCCAGAGTTATGTCAAGTATGCCCTCAGTTTTGAGCCGGATCGCTTCAGCACTCAGGTCCAGCTAAGATTCCGCACGAGAGAGGAGTATGGCGAACTTTTCCGGGTTAGTGACCAGCACAACAGGGAATACGGAATCCTGGAGATCAAGGACGGACACCTGCACTTCCGCTACAATCTGAACTCGCTGCGCACCGAGGAGAAGGATCTCTGGCTGAATGCCATCGTCGTCAACGATGGCCAATGGCATGTGGTGAGGGTTAATCGATACGGCTCAGCTGCTACCCTGGAACTGGACGGAGGCGAGGGTCGACGATACAACGAAACCTTCGAGTTTGTCGGCCATCAGTGGCTGCTGGTGGACAAACAGGAAGGCGTTTACGCCGGCGGCAAGGCTGAGTACACGGGAGTGAGGACCTTTGAGGTCTACGCCGATTACCAAAAGAGCTGTCTCGATGATATACGGTAAGTGTCTTTTGAATATTTTTTTAAATAATGTTTTACTTTTCCATTTAGTTTTATATTTCCATTAATATATTTTAAAACTCTATTTCTCTCTCCTCAGCCTGGAGGGCAAGCACCTGCCGCTTCCACCGGCTATGAACGGCACCCAGTGGGGTCAGGCCACCATGGCCAGGAACCTGGAGAAGGGCTGTCCCTCGAACAAACCCTGTTCGAATGTGATCTGCCCAGATCCATTCGAGTGCGTGGATCTGTGGAACGTCTACGAGTGCACGTAAGTTTCCTCATCACCATCACCCTCCCCCTCCCAAATACATTCTTAGGCCTTAACCCATTGCTTTTCGTTTCTCATCAAACAAAATGAAAAATTACCAAACGAAAAAAATTAAAACCATTCAAATAAATTGACCATTCGGACTGTACTCGACCAACCCAAATAAAAAGGGGAAAAGGAAAAAGAGTTTATCCAAAATGTACCCATAAGCCATGTGTGGCGATAAAAGAGCCCCGAAAAATCCACAAAGTAAAACCAATACCACATAAAAGGGAACCAGAAAACAAATCACCGGCTTTTGATAAGCAAGCAGAGCTAACATTTGATAGGCTTAATCAATTAAGGGCAGAGCTCACAAAAAAAAAGGGGGAGAGTTGGGCAAAAGGCCTGTTGACCGTCCGTCAAAGGAGGTCCTACCGATGAATCGCAGTCACACTCCCACATCACACACACACACTTCATTCACACACGCGGCACACAGTCAGCTAGTGATTGGCACTAAACGTTGCGTGACAAATCAATCGGCTTAGGCTTACGTTTCCGATTTCGCTTTGACTTCGGGCCAAAGTCGATCCCGGGAGCTGTGATTCGAGATTCGAGATTCGTGATTCCAGCTTCGAGTTCCCGGCGCAAAGAGCATTTGTCCGGCTTGTAATGGTCTTTGTACATATTCACGCTTTTGTTTCATTACACAAAACGAACAAGAAATTGTAACTAGCTTGGCACAGGTACTTCTATGCTTATCTTTGTTAAACACACACATACTTTCCTAACACAACGTCGTTGGCTTTAAGCTTTTTCCATTTGCCAATTTAGTTGAAGGGAGATAAATCAGGCAAGGTAAAGCAGTGCTAAAAGGTTGATAATACTCTTAATTAATCTCTTACGAAAACGTACTAAGCCTTGAAAGCATTTAAAATCATTGCAAAAGTGAATTAGAGATCTGTAAAGTAGTATTAAGATTTTACCTCCATCGAAGCCCTGACATAACTTGGACCTGCCTCGAATCTGCAGACAAATCATTTTACAATTGGAACATCCATTCGATATTTGCCTTTTCGTTTAGCCCACTTTTTGTTGCCATTTGCTCCTACTATTACTCAAGTAACTTACTCTATAAATAAAATACGATATAGTTGCGGCGAAGGACGCATTATGTCGCCCGATTCCAAGGGCTGTATGGATCGCAACGAGTGCCTCGATATGCCCTGCATGAACGGTGCCACTTGCATTAACCTCGAGCCCCGCCTACGGTATCGATGCATATGTCCCGACGGTTTCTGGGGCGAGAACTGTGAGCTGGTGCAGGAGGGTCAGACATTGAAGCTCAGCATGGGCGCCCTGGCGGCGATACTGGTCTGCCTTCTGATCATTCTGAGTGAGCATCCAACCAGAGTCCCTCAACATGAGAGAAAACATAATTAATTCCCTCCGAATGTGCAGCAACAACTCGTAGTTTTAATTAAGCAACTAGTGCTCTAGCGAATGCCTAGCCCTTAGTGTCTGTCTATGTTGTAACTTTATTCGAACTTTATTAGCTGGTTGCAATCATCATCAAATCAATTTCGTGCGTTTCATTCGACAAATTCCATTTCATTTTCCCCATCAATCCGACATGTTCAATGGCTCTCAGCCTGTGCACTTTGCTTTTATTTTATCATAACCAATCATATCATATTTACCAAATCCAATCATTCGGCATCTAAATCACGGCTCACCGAGTTCATCTTTAATGAAAACATATGTTTGGCACTCGGCTTCCATTGCCCTGTGACTATATTCCACCCAAAAAGGCATTTCCATATTCATCATCCTATGATTTCATCTCCATTCATATTCAATATTTGTTTTTGGCACATTTTCCGTTCAGCCTTTCACTCAATGTACAAGTTTATAATATTATTCAATGTGTGTGTGTGTCTGTAAATATTTTATATCTATTCAAACGAAGGTATGTACCCATATATATAGTGGAATATTTAATTAGTTGTGTGTCCTAAATGAAAACTTAAGCTTCTTGCCGGGGATTTTCCCCGGACTCCGACCCTGTGATACATGCATTCCACTTAGTTTTTTGGCCATACTTTTATCAACTCCCCACATTTCACATTGCACTCAGCCAAGACAAAGAACAAGACCTGAAATGCCCTTCAGGTAAGTTAACAAATGTGCAGTCAAAGATACAGGTTGCCCGTGAGGAGACAAGACCAGGAGGAAGAGCAATTGCAGTTGTTAGCTTTGGCATTTCGAGAAATCACGATGCACTAAATCCACCCAAACCGAGCGAATAAAAAACGGAAAAGGGGAAATACAGACAGGAAGCTCAGACAGCTCAAAGAAGCAGGTTGGAAAGTGGCACTAAGAAGCTGCCAGTTGCATTTTGGGCATTGCCTCGTGAGGATTTACTACGTTTCTGCTTCTGCATTTTTTTTTTTTTTTTTTTTTTGGCTTAACTGTTCAAGTTAAATGCCGGGTATGTGTGTAAACAGCCAGAAAAACGCCAGTCCCTGGCTTACAGTCCTGACTCCATTCAAAGCCACCTTTGCACAACATTTAAAAGTTGGCTCGGAAATTGTTTCGTGCACCCGAGTCCACTCGGACTAAAACTTAATGACGTAAAATATGGCAAACTTCATAGACGAACGGGAAAAAAAGTAGAAAATTTCAGCTAAAATTATCAAGTACCTCACTCACTCACTTCTGATGGGTCTTAACAACGCACTGGGGAGCAATCGAAGGCGGAGAAAGGCAGCCAACGGGGAAAAGGGATCGCTATTCAACTGTCCGACCAGCTCTGATTTAGTGTGAAAGTTTTTTCCTGCTTTTGAGGTATTTACTTTATCCTCCTTCTTCTCAAGTTGTTTGCACTTTTTTCGTGCATTCCTGCTGCGAGGATTCAATGGTCAGGCCAAAGAATTTGCCAATAACCGTCAATATATCAAAAGTGCCTCAAGTCTGCTCATGAAATAAATTCAATTTTTTTCTTAAAATAAAATTTAAATAAATCGAGGCAGACAGTTTTAGCAAATACTAAGTCTTAAATCATAGATATTTCTCATTGCCATTTCACACCTCAATGTGCAAAGTCAACAGACATTGAAAAGATTTTTATTCCCCAAGTCAAGGACGAGGGCGAGTGCGTTACCCAAAACTAATCAAAACAAACTTAGGGACGAGGGGCAAAAAGAAATAGTCATGAAAAGTGCGACAAAATAAAATGAAAATCAACTTAGCCCAAGAATGCAGGAGGATAAAAAACTTTATTCAATTCCGACCAAGAACAAAAACAAATAGTTGCATAATAATCATAAAAGCAAAAAATGAAATACAACAAAAATTGTGCAAAACAGCACTTAAGATGCGTGCTAGAAAAAGAAAATTCGATGAGGGGACGTTGACTGTTTGCGCAATGCAAATGCAAAAAGTTTGTCACACGACCGAAACCGAAACTAAAAAGTCACAGAGCGTAAAATAATAACTACAACGAAAAATAGAAAAAAATGGTAAAGTTGCAACGAACGTTTAAAAGGACTTTTTGACAGTTTTTCACACTATAAGGGGTTGAGGGGATTGGAAAATATTCCAGACTCATAACTATGCAAACGAAGAAAGCGAAGCAAGTAAACACTGAGAAAAGAACTCAAATCGATAGTCACTTCTTAAATACCATTCGACGTTTTTAACATTTTCTTAAATAGTTCGAAATTGAATAATAATTACACGATAAACTGTTTCGCGAGCTTTGTACATTTTATTAATTTAATATTTCAAAACGAATTACATTCTTGATTTGGGAAACCAATTTTCTCAGTGTAACAAATTTTACAAGAGCCACACTCACATCCACATTCACCTCCACACACTTGCATGATGAAAACAAATTTTAAATAATTTCTTTTATTTTTTCAACACTCCAACACACACACAAACACCCGTACATCCGACATGCACTTAAACGAACATCTCGTACAACCACTCGTATACGTAACGTTACTTTTCGGGACATTACGTATACGCCTGGGTGCAGCTGTCCGGCGGGCTACAGAAGCTCCGGCAGCACCTGTGTGAACGACAACGAGTGCCTCCAGTTCCCGTGCCGCAACGGGGGCCGCTGTCGCGATCATCATCCGCCCAAGAAGTACGAGTGCCACTGCCCCATGGGCTTCACCGGCATGCACTGCGAACTGGAGTTATTGGCCTCCGGGGTATTGACGCCGTCGCGTGATTTTATAGTCGCCTTGGCACTCTGCCTGGGCACTCTGATATGTAAGTATACCGCAGAATTCCCTCACCCACGGTGCTGGTGTGTGCGAAACCAAGGGCGAAACACTTGAGCTTAAGGTTTGAGTAGTTGTTTAACAACCAGGCTAAGTAAATTAAAGTTTGGAGCTTTATTGCATGGAATTAATACTCTTTTGTGAAGTTTAATGCTTTTTAAAAAATATAGCTAAATATATAGTTATTAAAACGAGCAACGAGCAAACGAAAATATCAGTTATATAAAGCCTTTTCTTATTTAAAGATTTATTTATTACTTTAACTTACATTTATTTTCTGAAATTAAATATTTGTATAGATCAATCAATTTGTTTTCCTTTAACATGCAATTTTCTTATGCCAATTAAAAGTTTAATCAAAGGACAACATTGCCCTTAAATATTGATGGCATCGCACGGAAATAAAATTAATTAAGTCTTACAATCAGCCATCTGCAATGACCGGAAACGACGGATCCCGGCAAGCAAGCATGTCAAAAGTAATTTCCGCAAATTACATGACACAACAAAAGTCGTTCCATAAATTAAAGTTTATTGAATGGTCAGCAGGAATTTTTTGCATATCAATAAGGCAGAGCGATAGCGATAGCAATCCCCATGAAAAATCAGAGTACAAATTAAACTTCTTTTTCGTATTGCGAATGCGTATTTGACTAACACAATAATTGCAATTACACGCTGGCCAGCTGGCAGAAAAACTTTCGGCAGACGAAGAAGCCGCAGCAAATTACTTAACGTCAACTCGCAGTTGCGGTGGCAATTTCCACGACTTTAAGTCCCCGAAAAAGTTTTTGTTTTCCTTGGAATTTTCCGTTGGCTATGCAACAGATGCTGTCTACTTTTCGCAATATGCTGAGAAGCGCGATGGCCAAATTAGAAATGCTACGCGGAGACAGCGTCTGCAACTTGATTTGCCATTTTCCGTTTCCCAGAAAACTGGGACAATGTTTGCTATATTTGTTTTCGTTTCCTTTTTATTTCCTATTTTTTGCTGATTCCATTTTTATTTTCAATACTTCTTTCTGTTGTTTTTTCGTTGCGCTTTTCTCCTTTTCGGTTCTACAATTTAATTAAGCATTTTTTGCAAGCTGATAGCGAGAAGGTATTTTGCGCTTCCCTTTTCCAGCGCTGAAGAAGAGAAGTATAACTGAAATTGCTCTGCATGTTAAATTAAGTGTAGCTTAATGCACTTTGTAAACTCAACGAGCTGTTGTTGTTACCTGCTGAAGGATGGGAATCTTTTAGCCGGAATCGTATTTTAATATTGTTTAATTTTCAACCATTCACAGTACTCGTCTTGGTGTTCGTCGTGTACAATCGTCGCCGTGAGGCGCATATCAAATATCCGGGCCCCGATGACGATGTGCGCGAGAATATTATCAACTATGACGACGAGGGTGGCGGCGAGGACGATATGACCGCCTTTGATATCACACCGCTGCAGATACCGATTGGAGGGCCAATGCCACCCGAGCTGGCGCCCATGAAAATGCCAATTATGTGTAAGTATCCCCTTTGAAATTGGGGCATGCAGATATAGGACAATTGAGCTTTGAGAATTTGAGCATTTGAAAACTGAAACAGAGATTAAAGTTACTAGCAGCCACAATTATTAAACAACATAAAATAGTGGGAAATGTATTTAGCTTGTATTTATGCTCTTAATCTTAAATAAAATACATACTTACATATTTCTATTATTTGTGCTACTTCCAGATCCCGTTATGACCTTAATGCCAGGTCAGGAGCCCAACGTGGGCATGTTTATAGAGGAGCATAAAAAGCGCGCCGATGGCGATCCGAATGCTCCTCCCTTCGACGATCTGAGGAACTATGCGTACGAGGGCGGCGGCAGCACAGCTGGATCGCTCAGCTCGTTGGCCTCAGGTAAGCCAGGGAAATACTTAGTTTAAGAATAGCATTTGCACCCAATATGCTGCAGCTTAGTCACGAATCTAGAACCGAAGCCTGAGAAGCCCGCAAAGTAGGCTACAAGATACTAGATACTCATAGAGTGCCAATCGACTTGCTGACTCTTCATCTTTTCTGACATTTTCAGGCCAACGTGTCTCAGATACAGCTGAATATTGGGTGTAAAATTAGAAACCATTTATGGTATTTTTGTGTGTTTTGCCTACATGCAGAAAAACTTGCATTTACTCTTGAAACTTTAAAGTAAAACCCGCAATTTGCTCTCTGCGTAGAAAGTTTTGAGTCGAATTTAAATACGAATTTTTGTGTGTGTTTGCTTATTTATTGCAGGCACAGATGACGAGCAGCAGGAGTATGACTACCTCGGGGCCTGGGGGCCACGCTTCGACAAGCTGGCCAACATGTACGGACCCGAGGCGCCCAATCCCCACAATACCGAGCTAGAGTTGTAAGCGGGGAGAAGCCAAGAGTGAGGTGAAGTGAGTGCAGAGCGGAGACCGAATCCAAATCCGAGGCGGAGATACCTAGATGAACAAACTAAAACTGTTAGTAGATACAAAGTTGCATTTAAATCGAAATGAAATCCCCACACACGAGGATAACTCACACACAAAGAAAGCGCAACCAAAGAAGCATCGCAATGCTGAAAAGTTGGCAGAACTCTCTACGTAAATGGAAACTAAGAAATAGAAACCTAGAAAGGGAATGCGGGAAACGGAAGTGGATATGGGTATGAGTATGGAAATGAAGGAAAAATCAAACACATATTATGACACGAAAAATGACATTTGTAAAAATATTTCATCAGCATTTAAATTTAAACAATTACGATAATGAGATTAAGTTATTAGGGCAACGCGAGCCGAAAGCAGCATTTTTTGCGGAGCAAATTAAGTGAAAATTTAAGAGCAAGGATATGGGAATTGTAAGGCGTAGGAGAGAGCATACCAAAGTTTAGTTTAGGAGCGCTTATGAATTTATAACCTTAATTCTCGAACAGATTTGTTGTGCATAATATTTTAAGTTGTAATTATTATTTTTAGGGCTTTTCTGTTTATAAGTTGGCGGCCCTCGTGAGTCATTTAGCGGTAGGTCACAGGACAAGTTCTCAAATTATCTATACCCTAAGTTCTTCGTTTTAATTTCGCGTTACTTTCTAAGGATTACAATTAAATCGAATTAAAACTTATATAAAGGAATACCCAAAGACTGTTTTCGTTCCATCATAACAAGTATATACAAACATGCATCAAAACACGAACATATATATAAATATATTAACTTATAAACATTACGAAATTTTTAACTGCAAATCGAATGGCATTTCGCAAGTTGCCGCATTGTGTGTCATTCGAGCACAATCGGCGCCCCTTTCCAGATGCCAGCGGAAAATCTGAATCTGAACCGAAGAAAATACTCCTAAAACCATATTCTAAAGGCAGAAAACTTAAGCTAATTCTCCAGGCGAAACGCTGGCACAGTAAAGTAAAGAGTAAAAGTAAAAAAAAAATTACCTTTAGATGAACTTAGCGCAATTGATATAATTAAAGGGAATGCATGACGGAAAACGAAACAAAATGGTATATATATTAATGATGGAAACATTAAATAGTATTTTACATTGTATATATTATTAGTTTTAGCACGTATACATACAAAGAAACACCACAATATTAAACCATGTGAAACCCAGAATTCTATTAAGTCACTTAAACTAGAGGGGAGGACCCAACACATTCGAATAAAAATAAAATCCTCCATATACATAAATCCAAATCTAACTGCATTTAAAAACCACTCTTTCCACACAACAAAGCCAGCGTTTTTCGCCAATCGATTGGTTTTATCCTCTTCACTTTTTGATGGTAGCTCTGAGCCGCAGAAACGGGTTGCTGTTATCGAAAAAAATAAAAATAACACATGCATATTATTTCTGTTGTTGATTTTATTTGTTGATTCCACGATTTTATTTAAATTCCATTCGTTTGTTGAGCTGTCAGGCAGAAAACAGAAATCACAAGAGCAGTTTACCGATTACAGATTGTAGAGAACCGTAAGTACTTAATAAACAAAATCACAAATATATATATATATATATAGTGTGTATGAAGTCTATCTAAATCATAGAGTTTTCCAGGCAATGTGCCCGCGAACAAGATCCTATTGAAGTTTCAGTTTCAGTTCCTTAATTTTACAAGTTCACACCCAAACACAAATTCAAATTATTCCTACTACCACAGGCTACAAAAATGAAGAGTAAAATTATAAAACTTAGGTAACACCTACATGCATATACATAAACAAAAGAAGCGAGATGAAATTTAACAAAACTGCAACAAAAGTTGACTATTGAAAAGTGCAAAGATTTTAACGTAATTGTTAAACCATACAGCGAAATAAATATTTAAAGCGAATAAAAGCCCAATAAACTTGTCCGCTGTACTTGTTTGAGGAAATTCTTAGAAATTTTAAAAGCACAATACATTAATTGTTAAAACGAACAGCAAAAGGTAATCGAAGCCACTTTCTGATTTGCCTTCACATGGCGCACATGGCGCTACAGTGCGTTACGGTAGAGTAAGGCCACAGCTCCAGAGACACACACAGAACACTGCCAAATTATGGTTTAGTTTCCGCAGAGACTAGAATCGGAAAGTGAATTCCACGAACTATTTATTTACGGCTTTTGTATTTTTTTTTTTTGTATTTTTCATTTTGACATTTGGCTTTCTTTCTGATGCATCTGACTATGAATAAATTTTGCATTTATATATGTATAGGTCGAACAGCCAACGGAAAACGTACACAACCAAACACAAACACACACACACATATACACATTTTAAGGACATTCAGATATACAGCAAACAAAGGAAGCGATATTTTATATTTAAAACAAATAGAACTGCAGAAAAACAGTCAGAGTAGACAGCAAAAACCGATAAAACGAAATTAGTAGAATGGCAAGTATATTATATACTCATTTACACATATTTGTTATATATTTTGTAATGTAAGTTAGAAGCATAAACTATATACGGAATACGGAATAATGCACAGACACCACACACACACGTACATATATAATGCGAAATACATATACACCAGCAGCAGGACGACAGACAGAGAGACAGACCCATTATGGCAATGCAAGAATCATACTATTTGATAACTATATATTTATAATGTATGCATTTTTTACCACACACCCGAAAACGAAACCAGAAATCCCCCCCAAATGAAGAGTAAATCCCATTAAGTCAAAAATAAAATGGGAAACAGACACCGACACACACACGAACATCAAAAAAAATCCGATTTGAATGCAGTTTTAGATACATTTGCATACAAGTACATAATTATGTAAAATCACTTGAATATGCAGCAACAGAAACGGCAACTGGCTGAACGGAAACTAGTATTAAAGAAAATGAAATTATGAATAAATTACGAGTAATTAAAGTAAAACCAAAAGCATACTGCAAGTAAACCTAACAAATCAATTGTGCAGTATTCGGTTCTCTTGTCGGTATCGAAAAATGATAATTAATTAAGCGATCGAATGGCGTGGAAAACTTGTAAGCTAATCACGTTCCACTTAAGAGTAATGGGGAAAATATCTAGTTAAGGAAACCTACATATACACGAAACAGTCACACGGACAAGCATTCATTTACAAACACTGACATGTATACACTTACACTCATAGACAACAACAACAACAACAACTGCAATTATATTAAACGAGAAATTATTATAAAACAAAGAAAACACGGAAAAAGAAAAGTGGAAAACCAACAAAACGAAAGAGTAAAAAAAATAAATAAAGAATCTGTAACGTTATATGAAAAACAAAAGTTTTAAACAGTATTTTTATTAACTTAAGTTGGCACTGGAACTAAAAGGTAATTGGATATAATAAATAATATTTGTATACTCTTTCAGAATGCTATATGAATTTAATTTCTTTCCTAAAACAATAAACTCTAATCTCAAATCATAGCTTTAATAAACCTACAGACAATGCAAATGTTTATGCCTTGCAGACAATAATCATTTGTTATCTTAGTATTACAAACTCAAGTCTCAGGTACATTTATATTTGCTTATTTGTATATTACATATTGCATTGTTGCGAATGAAACCAATATTTTGCCAATGTCAATGTTGAGTCAGACAAGCTCAAAGCCGCAGGCGGACACTCACAGGAGCATATTATATCCTTATTTGTCCCGAACGAGTGGCCTTTGTCTGATGCTACACCATCCATCGCTATCGGCAAATATCACCGGCAGTACACACACAACAGGGCCAAAACACTTTTGCCCCGGGAAAACGAAATGTACAAATATGTATTTCTTCACCGATTTCTTTCGCATTTCGCAAGGAAATGGGGAGTCTGTAAATGGATTTGGCCTTTGCTTTCGGGCACCCAACTACAATTTCCCTTTTTCCTAGTCAAAGAAAGGAATGAAATCTTCGCCTCACCACAAGGGCAAATATGTACAATGGCGAAAAGCAAAGTCAGAGGCTTTATGCCTGGGTATGCCAGGGGTATTTCTATTCAAGAAAGCAAAAGCTGAACTATGTTAAGCCTAAACATTTTGAAGATTAGCTTATAATTAAAATGTTTATCTTTTATGATACATTCATAATTCTTATAAAAACATATATAGTACGGGTCAACTCTTAGTCGAAACACTTTACTGTATTTTTCATTCTCCTTTTGCCTTTCTTTACATTTTCCAGTGGAGCATCAAATTTCCAATATTATTGCTCCCTGTTGAACATTTGTCTTTGCCTTTCGCCGGCTCTTGGCACGTTCCAACAATTGTTTAAGGCGCCAAAACAAATTGCGCATACGCCAAGTGGTACGGGCCAAGAGGGAAATGTATACGTATATGCAAACATTCACTTTGAGCACAATTTATAAGCCACAATTTGTGCGGACTATTTTTAGCTAAACAATTTGTTTAGCCGTCTCCTTGCAGCTGTCGATTTATTGGCCAGCCAACCCTTTCCCTCGCTCCTTGTCCGTCCGTCCGTCCTCCCTCATCTTTATTTGGAGGAAAGTGTTCTTCCCCCCGTCCAATTTCATTGTCAAGCTTTCGTTTTTGTTTGCCTTTCCCACTCCCACTTCGCTGGTATTTATGGGTTTTGTTTTTGGAGCTGCGAAATTTATGAATTTCGCACTGACAAGAGCGGCTCGTTTATCTCATCTAATAAGTTTCGCTTGTTGCTCGACCCCCACACTATCGAACTTTCCATTTCGTTTCAGATTTTTCCCCAGCCACTGCGTGGGTTTGCTCATTTGCAGTAAAAAGTTTTAGCTATGGGGAACACTTGGGAAAAAACTGTTCATCTGTTCCCTTAAAGTAAATAAGAATAGACATTACTTTAAAGCTGACAAATATGATTAACTGGGAGCTGAAGTTGATATTTTAAGTTTTATTTAATTTTTTTATTTTATTTCTTTACGTATAAAGTTGTCTGTCAAATTTTCCCCGTGCTCTTTGTATTGATTTTGAGCTTGGCTAGCAGTTTGATGAGCCGCCTGAAACGGTTCGATTTCAGTTTCCGCTTTGGGCTTCCGGGATCCCGTTCGTTTCGTGTGTGTGTTTTCTTTTATAGCAGGTTGTTAAATGCGAACATCTCTCGCTTTTTGCTGCCGGCAAGTGCAGCTTTGGCGGCGGCCAATATGTCCGGCATTTTTTAGTTAAGTGCTGCAGTTTATGAAATTGCTCTGGGCCATGCATAAGGCAACTTTGAAGGGAATTTAACAAGCGATCGATGGGGCGCTCCCTTAAATCGTGGGCGGGAAAAAGGCAGACACGTGAAAGGCATTTGCAGATGTTTAGTCACAGATTTCATCTCATTCATTGGTATCGAATCTGCGCTTCAAAGGGGAATGAAATCAAGCCGTTTTCAAATGCGATTTGTGCCCGAAAGCATGCAGTAAATATGCGCACTAGATAAGCACATGTCATCCGCATATCCACATATGTCCGTCCCCGTGCGACCCCCCAGATTCCGGCTTTGTCTTTTGTAGCCCACATATTTCAATATTTTGCCAACATGTCACATGGATGACATTCATTTCCTACAGTCAACACGCACAATTTGTCGCTCCAAAATGAAATGAAATGAAACGAAACGCTCGAAGAAAACAGGCAGCGGGAGGCAGGGCTGGCGGAATCTCCCTGACACACCGGAAAATCTTGAACAAAAAACCAGAAAAAATGAAAATAACAAGGGGAAAAATGGAATGAGCTTAACATGTTTTAGCCCAAAAGCGAAAATCAACACATGCAAATGGAGAAAGTGAGAGCAAGAGAGCTGACGCTGACAGCCTCGGGCCAGATGGCTACGAATAGATTTCAAGAATTGTTTAACCGTATGAATGCACAATGAGAAATAAATGAGGCTTTGTAGATATAATTGTTTTCTTAAGAGGTTAATGCTATCTACGAAGAAGAGAACAAGTTTTAATTTGAACCTTTAAAAACGTTGGCATGTATTATTCACAAATATTTCTAATTTAAACAAGGAAGTCTATTTTAAGTCTGACTTGTAGAATATTTTTCCAAAGTGCACATAAGAATATATTTAACTAGACCCACGCGGCTCAACACGAAAATACTTCAAGGAGAACCAAAAATAAAAATATATTAATAAAATGAAAAAGAAGCTCACAAAATGAACCCCTGGAAAACTTGAGCAATTTAAATCCTAATCGGGCTCAATTTGATTTTCCCCGCTGCTCGACACGCCCTCCCGCCACCCTGTGGTTAGTCGTTAAGGCCAACTTGTCAGTCAATCGAAGGTCAAAAGGGTTGCCACAGGGCAGCGGCAGCCAGAAAAAAATATATATAAAATAGAAAGGAGGCACAACCAGAAAAGGGACAACGGTCGCTGGTTGACAAGCATTAAATAAATATCAAAGGATCACTTTAGAAGCATATTAAATTTTGTGGCTACAAATTACTTAATGAATGTGGGAATGCCAACGGATGCCGCCCGAGGCACGAATGGGGATATACATATATATAACGCATCCTTTTGGCCATATGCAAATACTTTGGCCCGGAAGCAGCCTTGAGCTCTTGAGTGGGCGCCAAAAATGTTGATTACTCGCTGCTGTCCCCCGAAAATTTGCATAAACTGTCGCCGGGCACGTACCATTTACCCCCATCCATCTAATTGAGCCCAAAGAGGCGGGTTAAGCTCGTTTTAATTGCATTAGGGAAACGGACTCCGAATCGGAGCCAGCTAAGTCTGGCCGAGATTTCTTCATCCCGAACGGACGGAGATCAGCATGTCAGGCGGTTAACCGCCATTTCTGAAATTAATTTGTATCTTTGGCTCCCGGACTTTCTGGGCCATACATCCCACACATCCACTCAATTAATTTAATGTTTGCCCTGGCCTTAGGGGTCAAAATATACTAGATCTCCAGGTCTCGGGGTCACTAGAGGGGTTATCGGATTTTGTGCTTAGTCCATTAGTAGGTATTAAATGATGGTGTCTGATGACTGCAATGCAGCTGTGATTAATCTGAGGCATAAATCTGAGTGCATTATATAATTAGAGTGGCATTTTATGGGATATTGATGTGATTATGCCTTGATTTGTCAAGAAAGAGTCTAATTTTATTCATCTGCTGTTAAATTTGGTTCGTTAAACATACAGAAGGGTGAATTGAAACCCCGAAAAAACCTTTACTCAATGTCAATATTGAAAGCAATTAAGATATTCAATGGGAGACATAAGAACCTTAAGAAAAATTCCACGAAAGCCCACACGATGGAGATCACGTTTCATTTCCACTTTGAGTAATTTTCAGCACAATGTACCCATGGGACGTGTACGCCGCTCAACTCTTTCGCGTAATTTAAATGTGTGTATACGGAGGACGGTAACATTTTCTGATTGCTTTCCATTTGCGGAAGAGATTTCGCCCGGTTTTTTGGGGTGGCGGCTGCTGGATATTCATTTAATAAAAGCCAACAGCGAACAAATTTTAATGAAAGACTGCAAGTGCTGGGTGGGTCCTGCAGCCAGTATCCCGGATCCTGGGACCGTTGCATATGTCTGCGTTAGCCTTAAGCGCTCCCGTACAGTAAAGCCCCGCGGTAAGAACGAACGGCAGTGACAACAGCAGCGGCAGCAGAAGTTGCAACTGCAACAGCAATCGTTATATCAATGGGCAACGGAAAGGGAGGGCAAAAGTATGGAAGGAATCCCGACGAGGGGTTGCGAGTAGTGGGCAGAAAGGGACTAAAAAAAGGACGAACAGAGGAAGGAAACTCACTGCGTTACGCTGCTTGTTGATAAACTCTTTGGCGGGGCTTTTGACGTGGTCCGAACTGCTGAAAGGACATAATAAATGCCACTGCGTTCGGCCAAGCGAACAGGATATACAGTAGAAAAAAATACATACATTAAATTATCACAAGTTAATAATTTTAGCTCTTAAAAAAAGAACAAAGTATCTCCCTTTGTGATCAAATATTAACAAAATAAAATACATATAAAATGTATAAAAAAAACTTTGAAAAGTATAATTGGCCTTGCAATATTTTAATCTGAATTCTCTTCTAGGGAAAATGAGAAAGAGTGGAAAGCCAATTTCATTAAAATTTCTGTGTGTGCGAGTTGTCATTGCGTATTTATGTTAAATGGACGCGGTGCCGAAAGGATGTGCCAAGACTCCTTTCAAAGGGAGACAGTGGCCAGAAAAATTAATATCTCTCCTCGGCCAGCTGCGTTGCAGGCCATCGA